CCTACCAACCTCACCATTCTCTCCAATGGCACACACCTTTCTTTCCAAATTGTTTCAAAACGATAAAAAGAAGTTTACTCTTTGCTAGTTGAAATAATCGAACTCATGGGACAAATACAAAAATGATTCTTTGATCTGAGAGTACTTAACCTAGGATAACTTTTTTTTTTCTTTTCGATATTATTTCGCGTTAATATCGTAGTTGTGTGTGTTTCGTTTGATATAAAATAAAAAAAAAAATAAAAATGAGACTTTTATCATTTCTGTTTCAGCACACGCTTACGGGCCATTGCGGTAAGGTGATGGCGGCTAAGTTTCTTGGCGAACCCTCAAAAGTAGTTTCAGGCAGTCACGATCGCACTCTCAAAATCTGGGATTTACGTAACAAGGCGTGTAAGTTTGAATAATTTCTTTTATTTATCTATTATTATATTATTTTATAATAATTAATCTATTTATTATCTATAAACGATGAACACAAATTTAACAAGCATAATTTCAACTACTAAATTCCATCGATTTTCAAACAAGTAATCCGATTTTAGTTAGATGGTTCGATACGATACAAATAGTTATTAATAATCCGTTTTAGATATTTCTATTTTTCTATCGATAAAATTTCACTTTCTCGAATAAAGATATGAAAAAAAAAAATATTATTATTATTACTATTATTATTTACCATATAGAAAAAAAGAATTCATCGGGAATTTCGATTGATATCTTGTACGTAAAATTGTTTCTACTAGCGTATATTATTGGCATAGATAGAAATGAAAAAATTTTGCTTTTATTTTTTTTTTTTTTTTTAATCTTTTCGTTCGGTAAAATATTTTCACGTTCAAATGTTCGTATAAAAGTGCATAAAAAAGAAAAAAATTACAAACAAACTAGTAAAGGAATATTAATTAAAATGTAAAATATAACGAGTATAAGTGTATCGAGTATATGCACATATGATATGCATATATATATATATATATATGTCATTTACAAACGTGGACATCATAATGACGTAGATCGAATAAAAAAAAAAAAATCATTTCACCTTTTATTAATATTTAATTATTATTTGATTTTTATTATATATTTATGTAATATTTCTTTTTTTCATTTTATTTGACCTCGTATGTTAATTAACTCGATAAGATTCAAATTACGTTCGTTCAAATTACGAATTTTTTATTTTTATTTTTTTTTTTTGAACCGTCAAACTTCATATCTTACTTCACGTTTTTATTTTTATTTTACCTCTTCCTTTACTTAATATTAACATCTTACCGGTTTTCGTTCGCATCTCAAAGGTGAATCTTTTTTATTCGTCGACCCTTTTTTAACGGGTGTGTGTATCCCCATCACGATAAGAAACCCATGCCATTGAGATAAAAAAATGAATTGACAATTTCTCACGGTGTTATTTAAAAGCAATGTCTTTCTTGATGTTTCCTCATTCTTCACAAAATAAAAAAATAGAAAGAAAAAAAATACAATGGTTTATTCCATACCAAATTGAAAATCAATTCACAGATGCTTCTTATTCTAATTCTATTTTCTTATTAATTTTTTTTCACTGTATGTAAATAAGTTTGATGATAGGTGGGTGAATATATTTAAAAAAAAAAAAAAAAACACACACACAATTTTCCAATTAAAACGCGATATTTGAAATATATTCACGTTATCTATTATTATTATATTTTAAGATATGTTTATAATACCACGTGTAAATTATTCTAACTTCGTTAGTTTTCTTCTTTCTCACGGGAGATTTGTTCTCACGTTCGTTTTATTGGATCGTTTAAATATCAAATCTATCTTATGGATAGAAATTTAACGATGATTAATAAAGTCAAGGCTTAAGATTCTCGCCGGATAATATTCCAAAATGTAGACCGAAAGTATAGTAGACTTATCTTTTCTTCTCTGACAAACACAGTACGTAATGAAAATGAAGAGGAACGGAGTTGGCACGATCTCTTTCTCGCAGAAATTATTCTTTTCAACAAGTGGTTTCGCGATAACGAATTACAGGAAAAAGAATACTATTCCCTATATATGTATATATATATATATTTATATATGTATAAGAACTTATATTTTTCTTTCGGATGCGAGAGGCATACTGAGAGAGTAGATTTTATCTCGAAGAAGGAAATAGACATTAAGGATGGGAGAAAAAAAAACACACATACACACACAAGTGTTGATAGCAAAAAGAAAAAGAAAATGAATTATACTATTTGTATTTTCTTAGACGATAGTCATTGTTTTCTATAATAAACTAGGGGTGCCCCGCAACGCGTTGCTATGGTTCACAATCAGTCCGATACACACGTCTTTAAGTCATAATTCGCGATTAATAAAATAATATTGCGATTATAAATTGAGATATAAACTATCCTATGTTTCAAGTTGGATGAAACTGCACACAGTGTGTAAAATTTGATWAAAATYGGTTCAGTAGTTTARRAGTCCATTGCGGACAAACAACGTGACACGTAATTTATATATTAATTAAGATAAAAAAAAATCTAAAAAGAACACGTAATATAAATAAAATCGGTAAAACTAACGCAATTGAAGAGATTTGTTGAATTGACAAAGTAGAAGGAGGTAGGGTTGGAGAAGGTTCATATACTAATCTCGTTAAATGGATATCATCTATCTTTCGAAGAATACGTTTGGAGATATCGATTTAAGCGAAGGTAAACACGTTACTGCTGAAACTTCGATCAGTCGCGTCGAAGATTTTATTGACAAAGGATTGGTAACTGGTGAAGGACGATAGCAGCAACAGCAGCAGCATCAACGGACGACGACGACGACGACGACGACGACGACGACCAGCAAAACTACGCTTCAGAAGGATAGCCTCCGGGTCCTGATTCCAAATTACATCTGACTCGACTGCCACGTTCGCACCGTCAAAGTTGCACACATCGCTAGAAATTAATTCTGTTAGCCGAGCTATCTCGAATGATCGATTATGCGTCGAATCGATTAGACTTTTCGACGATATTGTACATTTTATAAATGACACGTTGATTTTGACGATAAAGGGATTATTAAAAATGACATATTAAAGTATGATCAAATAAATGATTGAAAGGGAAGGGAAGAGAGAGAGAGAGAGAGAGAGAGAGAGAGAGAGAAAGAGGTGGTGGGTGTATGAAAAAAAGAGAATTGTTTACGTCAGAGAAGAATATCCTGCCATGATTAATTAATGCTAAATGTTGCATTGTTACGAACGAATTGGAATAATTTCGAACTGAAATCGAACGTCATTAAAACTTGTTTCAAACATTTCTCGTATATTGTCATTAATTTTTACCTCTTTGTTACGCTATATGATTATAATTTTTCATTCGATTGACAATACCACCCTAGGATGCAAATTGCAAACACGATATTTTGTTGTTAGTTATTGTGTAGTAGTAGTAGTAGTAGTAGTAGTAGTAGTAGTAGTAGTAGTAGCAGCAGCAGTCGTGATTGTGGGCAATGAGAAACATCGGCAGGAATTTGGGAAACATTCAGAAGTTAAAGCACCAGTCACCAGAACGGTTCGTAGCGTAAACAAATCGTTGAGAAATACAATAGATGTCAAAGAGTTACGATTGATACGAAAACTTCTCAAGCTCGATTATTCATAGAAATCGTAACGGGTTTATTGCATGTAATTAGTTTGCGTATTAAATTTCAATGAATATAATTTTAAATAAATACGTATATCGAGATAGTCGAATTTTTGCAGTATTTCAATGGAATTCGATTGAATGAGAAAACAAATTGCGCAACACTAATTTAATTTTACATAATAAAATATCTTTTTAATAATTCCTATCAATAACATCATTGCAAGTCGATCGATATTACTATCCAATTTTTCTCTCATTGGCCATTCAAATAATACGATTCCCCTTTGAAAATCTTTCACATTTACAGTGTCGTTTGGAAATATTTTCCGTAACCTCCCAAAAGAAGTTTCACTAGAAAAATTCACGGATACCGTTGAGAAAAACAGTGAACGTAGCACTATCGAAGAGGGTAGAAAGAAAAGAAGGAATAAAAAAAGGGACAGTTAGAGAGAGAGAGAGAGAGAAAGAGAAAGAAAATGAACGTGCGAGAAGGCGAAATAGATGGGTGGTGGTGGTGGTGGTGGTAGTGGTAGTGGTGGTGTGGTAAGGGGAAGAGAAAGAGACAGAAGTACAAAAGTTTCGTTGAAATAAATCTCCGAACGCAAGGAACGGACAATGGGAGTGCGCCCGTTGAAAGGGCGTTTAAGCGTGAATTATTGTTTAGCTTGCGAGCTTTAAGACAAAAAGGAAGCTTAAAGCGGATCGGGTCTTTTCTAACTCGGTCTATTTTCAAGCCTTCGACCTGTCCTGTGTAATTTGGAGAACGGCCTGGCACGCCTTCCCGGACGGAACCGTGCCACAGAACGAAGGGAAACGAGAAGTTCGATTAATTACCGACGCCACGTACGTCGGGAAGTCTGTTCCATCGACCACAAAATACACGACGTAGATTTACGCGTGCCTCTTTACTCTGTATATGTGTGTTTGTGTGTGTGTTAACACATCGAGTATGAAATTCTCAGCCTACGTTGTTTAGCCCATTTTCCTATCGATATACCTTCATTTTTAATTCAATTCTTTTCTAAAAGAATAATCGAATATTTTTTCTTGTTGTTGTTGTTGTTGTTGTTGTTGTTGTTGTTGTTGTTGTCCCTTCGAAACTACGACGACAATACGCTGGTTTTGTCAAAGAGGTGTGTGTGTTGTTCTTTTTGTTGTCTCACTCTCTCTCTCTCTCTCTTTGGAACTTTAATAGATTACCTACGGAAAACTGACGAGAGATAACATTTAAGAAAAAGTTTGCCTTCCTTACCACAGCAAATCCGACAGGTGTTACATTTAAAGCTACGACTTTCTTCCCTACCTTGTGGTCTATATCGTTGTCTCTATCTTCTTCTGAAAATACCGGGGGAGACGTTTCTTATACGTTTAGTTTACTACGTCTCAAGGATGATATCTCAAGATGAGCCAGAATTAAATAGAAATTCATTTAGTTTTGTAATCTTATTCGTTTTGTCCTACATTAATCTTTAACGTTCCATTATCGACGCTTATCTAACATCGTTTTAACATTTATCTCTTTATCCTATTTTATCGATAATTCCTTTGATGTCGTTAACTCTCTCTCTCTCTCTCTCTCTCAATGGTTAAACTTTTACTTTTACTTGTAAAAAAAAAAAAAGAAAAAAAGAAGAAATAGCATCAGGGTGAACACAGCAAACGTAACTATGGCCATTCGGTTGTACGTTACTGGACACTTGGAAAGAAATGTTATTACTGGGTAGAGAAAACCTACGTCTATTACCTCGTTCCAGTATTTGTTTCAACGTTTTAACGTATTTTAAACTTAAAACTCGAAACACGAAGTACCACCACCATTCTTTCGAATGTTCTTCTTCATAGACACATGTTGTTATCCTCGAAATTCGAATTAGCGTATATTTATTTGACTCGAAGAAAACTAGTTGAGAAAAGGGTGCATTGAAAAACTGTACTAATCGAAAAGAGACTCGTTACGACGAGAGTAAAAAGAGCCTTTGATTCTTTTCCCTTTTAGTCGAGAATCGAGCGTGAAACACGCGAACACGAAGGAAGCTCCTCTCTCTCTCTCTCTCTCTCTCTCTCTCTCTTTCTTTCTCTTTCTTTCTCTTTCTTTCTCTTTCTTTCTCTCTTTGAGCTTGCTTTTACTTAAGCAAATTACTCCCAACGCTTTCTCTCTCTCTCTCTCTCTCTCTCTTTCTTTCTTTTTCACCTTTTCTCTTGTTTTCTCTTTATTTTTCATTTTATTTCTTTATTTCTTGTATACGCGCACGCGCCTATAACGCGGATATAAACCTCGGGATATTTAATTTTTTTGAATTTCACGCATCTCACCTCTCGCGTGACAGAATTTATGTAAATATTTCTTTGCGTGGCGCTAGACTAGCTCGATCATTAATAAACACTATAACGCACACCATTACAAACGATATTACTTTGCTTAGAATTTTCTTCTTTTTTTTTTTTTTCTTTTTTCTTTTTCTCTTCTTTACAATATCTAATTTTTCCTCGTAAAAATCTATGATGTCACGTCGTAAAAATAAATTAGACGGGACGATCGATCGAACGTAAGAACGAACGAACGAACGAACGAACGAACGAACGAACGTAAAAACGTGAGATTACATTTTATTTAGTTTGTATACGTTTACGTTACGTATAGGTAGTAGGGTAAATAGGTAATATCTATAAAAATCGAAATGTTTGTGTGTATACGACAATTGCAATCGTGAAAGCCCTGTGTGCCGAAGTAAGTAGATGCCATGAGAAAACGACGGAGGCGTCTCGCAAGAAGGTCCCTTGTAAGCGGAAAAGCCATAATTTATCCGGTTTGCAGTCTTGATGTTGGTCGTTTCCGTGCACCATTCGCGATTTCCAAGAGTTTTACGGAAACGAGGCGACGCGAATGTCATTTCCCAAAGTAAATTAAGTTTGAAATCTTGCTTATTTCACCATAGGGATCGATAAAAACGACTAAACCGAAAGAGATTCATAAAACGCGTACGAATATCAAATGATATTCATGTTGTGTACTATCAAATTTATATTACATTTTAATAATTAAATGACGATCCAATAAACTGTATTATTATATTACTTAAAAGTTTATATCGTAATGAAATATTATCATTGTTTTTTGTTAAAGGTACGGAAACAAAATTTACTGGCTCGAGTTGCAACGATCTTGTCACGTCGGATGGTGCCGGGTCAACGATAATAAGCGGTCATTTTGATCAAAGGATAAGATTTTGGGACACCAGAGCGGAATCATCATCAAACGACATTATTCTCGAAGGAAAGGTTACGTCGTTGGATTTATCTCGTGGTAAGTAGAATAATTTGCACGCTGGTAACAAAATTGATTTTCTCTTTTTTCGAAATACGAAATTGCATTTTCAAATGACCCCCGTGCTATTCGCGAGAGGATTTAAAAAAGTGTAGCGCGATATTCAATGACAATCAATATTACGTCGAAACAAAATGGTATTTCGCGAAGGATCAGATTTTTCGGCAGTGTGTAAAACGGCGTTATAACACTGGACGAACACACAGAAATATCACCTCGCTTTTCGACGGTATCCCAAAGCACCGATTTTAACTGCGAATTCACTGCGTTGATTGAAGAGCTCTTTCGAGAGACATATATTGTCCTCCCGCATTTCATTAATCTCAGTAATACGAGGATAGAAACCGAATGGAAACTGGTATTGCAACGACTCTAAAATTCTGCTCGATTACATCGTATCGCTCTAATGCTTTTCCTTTATCATTCGTCGTAATACATTATGTATACTCCCATTAAAGTACAATATTCCACTTCGTATAGAGGGAATACACTCGACGAAACGTTTCCAAACGCAACTGCCGCAGATTTATACGTCGTAAAATGAGATTACACGGAATGTCCCTTTCGACTCGCCTAAGGAGTCTTCTCTTCAGTCTTATGTCGGTTATATATATATATATTTGAACTAGCATCCTTGACTTGGAATTTATAATTAATAAATCGTGACTTCACGTAGATTCGATTATACGTTTCATAAATAAATACAAAAATTAAATTAAACGTATACTTACTTCTCCTTTTTGTTTTTTTGTTGTTGTTTTTTTTTTCAGATACGAATTATCTTCTTAGCTGTGTACGAGATGACACCGTAAAGCTCATAGATTTACGAATGAAGAAAATTATTGGATCGTTTAGGTGAGTCCAATCGAGTACGCGATTAAATGATCCGACCAATTAACCGTTCCAAATAATTCACATTTTAAAGATAATAATTAATAAATACCTTTGATTGTATTTATTATAATAGCGCTGACGGCTTCAAAGTTGGTTTCGATTGGACACGGGCAGCTTTCAGTCACGATGGTCAATACATTGCTGCTGGTTCTTCCGACGGATCCGTTTTTGTTTGGTCTGTAGCAACGCATATGGTTGAAAATGTGCTAAAAAATCACGCGTAAGTATGACTTTTTTTATCGAGTCCCCCATGGATTATCGATTTCACGTCCCAACCACGAATAACCACGGAACGGATAAAAGTGTTGAGCTCTTTTTAGTATCGATCTGAACATGCGTTTGCGATATTAAGCTCCCTACCGTTATAAAACTCACGTATGAAAGAGATTGTTAAAGTTTATACGCTATTTTACGGCCTATTTCGGCAGTGGTAATGGTAAGGCTTATTAAAATCTAGAATTTCGGTTACGACATTGTGCCAAACCAATGTTATACGACTCTATAATATGGATTATTGGAAATGGTTACTTGCACAGTCATTTTACGATTAAGATTTTTCGAAAAACCATCAAATTATCCATTAATTTTTTTTTTATTATCGCGAATCATATACCAACGTATTACGTATACCCATGGATTATGTCAAATTCATCGAAAAATCACAAATAAAACCAAATGAAAAATCAATCCTTGTTGTTTCGTGATATTTTCCAGTAAGTGACAAATCGTAACGCGGCAAATCTCGGAAATTCGTTGAAAGCCAAATCGGAAATGGGAGATCGCGATTCTAATAACTCCGTACTGATTTATGACTCAAGTAAAAAGTACATAAAACCGAGGAAAATAATATTCCGACGAAAGACGAATCGCATGAATCACTGCCGCACGTTACATCGGGTAGAAGATAGATCGGACGTTTCTTAGAACGTGGACCATCTGTCAGGGACATTTCTCGCAAGGAAAGACGACGTACACGTATATATATATATGTATGTATGTACCTAGAAATCTCGCATACATTGCTATGTATAGGTATGCTTTGAAGCATCACCAAAATACTTGGATGTTCCGCTTCGACGTGAATTTTCAGAAAATACACGCGACCTCGTTTTCCTTAAGTCAATAATAATTTATGAAAAATTAAGATTTATCTTTTAGAAAATTCGAGTACACGAAGAAAATATCGTAATTTTCTTCCTTTGAGTGTTGATACGACAGAAAATATTGCACACGTTCGCATTTCTTTCGAAAATATTCGATTAATGACATAATATGACCTTACATCTACATTAACATTTCCTCTCGATGCAAACGTTTCTGTCATCTTCTTCTTCTTCTTTTTCTTTTGCATCCATAATCTCTCTCTCTCTCTCTCTCTCTCTCTCTCTCTCTCTCTCTCTNTCTATCTATCTATCTATCTCTATCTCTATCTCTCTCATTCCTTCTTCCTTTTGCTTCCTCATTCTCCCACAAAGGGCTTTGATCATCTAACCCGATGCGAATTCAACGTTGGTTACCCTTACGCGAACGGACTAAAACGCTCGTAATTCTAGCAGGCACCTTCGAGTGCTGTGCATACCCACCTGACACGAAAAGTTTCGAAGTACTTCGAGGCTTCGTCGTTTCGTTACACGTACTAGGTACACATACCCCCACATATATATATACATACGCATAAAACACACATATATAAGTTAAGGAGGAGAAACAGTACGCGGGACGGGCATCGGTTAAGAAAATATTTCGACGTCGTCGTGCGTTTTACACTCAACTTTTGCACAACGTGTATCATCCTTTTCATACTACGTATATACATCGAATGCATATTCTCGAGAATACGTCTGTTTCTCTATATCCTGAAATGATCTTCGCTTTATCACAAATTTATGCATTATTCGAGATATCCAAAAACTCCATCGTACGTACCATTGAAATAAAGTCTGTTCCATCGTTATTGAAAATGTCATTCTGTATGAACGATTACTGTCCGTTTTGAACACGTTGCATTTTGATAACATACGCGTATTTGAGTGTGTATGTGAAAAGAAAGAAATTTTATTCCAATCTAGAAAAAATTCAATTGCTAATCTTTTCAAAATTGATATCTTTAACTTAAGAAAGTTTTACGAAGAGAAAAATTTTTGTGTCTAACGATGCTCCTCGCTATCATAAATTTCAGAGGTTTCTTATCGTAAAGTAGTCGCTTCTCTAATAAAAAAAATATAAAAAATGGAAGAAAAAAATAGGAGATAGATAGAAAAAGATTGGTTTGACGATTGGTGCTCCTATGTTTGGTTGAAACGTTCTATTTCAGTTTCGTGCTTCTCTCACTCGTCGATCTCCTAGCGAGCCAGAGAAGTAGTAGAAGGATGAGAAGGATGAGAAGGATGAGAATGAGAAGAAGAAGAAGAAGAAGAAGAAGAAGAAGAAGAGTCGTACGTTCTTCGTCATCGACCTCCTCGAGTTTTCCCAAGGACGAAGAAGAAACACATCATGGATAGAGAAAGATAGATAGATAGAAAGAAAGCTAGAGGCCGGCGTGCGGCTAAGTACCGGTCGTATCGAAAAATGGCTTAAGTACTAGTCACGTATACGCGTTCTCGTCGTCGTTGTCCGCGCGAGCGCGTTTCACTGTTATTACTTTCACCCCGCTCGGTTAGAGATCTTCTACCATAGAAGAGAGAGAGAGAGAGAGAGAACGAGATGAGAGTGAGAGAGTAAGTCCAGGTCGTCCTCTGGTTGTATCTTTCGCGCGATGTGGATCGTATAATTCGCATGTTGAGATCGCACCGCGTACGAGGAACGCGCGTTCAGGAATCCTCGCGACTAACTTAATAAGCGCCTCGCCTTATTCTCCTCCTCCTCCCCACCCTTTTGCCTTATTTTCCTTATTTTTCTCTCCCTTCCTCCCTCCCTCTCTCTCTCTCTCTCTCTCTTTCCCTTATTTTTTTTTCTTCCTTGTCTTAACCTTAACATTAGATCTCACGCGCTCACAGTTCTGTTTCCAACACAGCGAACGAAACGAAAGCTTCGGTTAATACGTGATCATCGTATCAAGCGTTACTTCTACAACGTGACGGAAATTAATCTTTATTAGATAGAAATGATACTACCAAAGAATTTCGTTTCCCTTTCAACGATACTATTTACTTTCTCTTTCAATTTCGTTTTCTGTAACTCACGAGTATAGTACAACGAAGATGACGACGACGAGGATTATGATGATCAACCCTTTGTTCAACTTATTGTTCAATTAGAATATGAAACTATTTCGATCTTTTTTTTCTCGTCGAACCATTAAAATCACCCTGACCGAATAGCCATCACCAACACCTCCATCACCAGCCATCACATCGATCTCTTTTTACCGATACCTCACAACCGACGATTCTTTTTTTCTGTTATATTTTTTTTTATTTTATTTTATTTTATAATTTTTTTTATTTATAGCAAACGCATTTCGCACCGTTCTATAATTCATTTTGAGTTGTGACACTGTTATTTTCTAACCCCCCACCATCCACCCATTCTCCCTCTCCCTTTGCCTACGCGATATCTGTCGCGGTTTAAAATGCGAATTCCAGACGTTCCATTTGAATTTTGCAGTCGGACCAACGAAGCAGTACCCAGTACCAGTACCAGTACCAACATACCACCACYCCCTTCTACAACTCCTCTTTCTCGATAAATTTATCGAACTGGCGTCCATACGCGGTCTTTCGTCTAACTCCGTGCACATCGTGCTTTGAGCGATTACCTCCCGCGGAAATTATTGCGGAAATAACGCCTTCCGATTTCCCGTGGCTCGCGGGGCTAAAATTCTCCCCCATCCTCCCCTTCCCTTCYCTTCCCATTCTCCATAGGATTTGCTAGATGCCTAGCAGGGCTCACCTAGGCTTCCTTGAAATATAAGTTTATATATGCTTTTAGATCGCGGATTTAAATCGCATTAAGCGGTCAATCGACTTAACGGAATTAACTCATCGACATCGGTCGTAGTAACCTGAGAAAAATCTTAGAAAACCGGTCGTGTAGAGCTTGCCAAGCAGATCGTAGATACGCGATCGTAGTTCGATACCATTCGATGAATAATCCCTGGAATTACGGAGCACGCGCACGTTAAATGTAAATAGTATCATTAAGTGATTTGCTTCGGCTTTTATTATAGCACTACCAAAGTGGCTTACGATGTACGTACGACACATAGGGAGAGAGAAACGTTTCTCTATGACTTCCGATCTTTTTCAAAATTTTATCGTACATACCACCGACAATTTCTCGGTACTTCGTCTATAGTCTTTTTTCTTTTCTACTTTCTCTCTTTTTTTCATGTTTATGAGAGAATATCGTTTGAAGCGAGCTTAAAAGTTAAAGAAAGTAAAAAAAAAGAGAAATAAAAAAATAATAAATATCGCGCCAAAGCGAACGTTCAATATCCTTCCTCTCTCTACCCTATCGAGGGAAGAAATTAAAATCGATTTTACGTCGATCAAAAGTCGTTCGTTCGTTCGTTCGTTCGTTCGTTCATACGTTCATTCGTTCGTTCGTTCGTTTGTTCCGCAAGCATGCGTACAAAACACCACGCGTGTTTCGAACGATTCGGTATTTAATAAAATAACATCGTATGCTCGTCCCCCCCCCACCTCCTCTCTCCCTCCCCTTCCCTCGCCCCCTTGCTACGTTGAAAATGTTTAACGATTTTACGCGGCCGGTAAAACAAAATGGATTTGTATCGGATTTAAAGGTATTCTCGTTGTTAGAGAATTTCAAACGTCGCAACAATCGTTGTAGTAGTGTTACGTACGTACGTACACACCATGTATTCTCGCGATATTCGTTTTAATGAATCGCTACGGTATTTTGGCACGATTTCCCCATCTCTGACCTTACTTGAACTCCGAAATCCGCAATTGTATTGGTCGATAAGCTAGCGCGAACGTTTGCGCTCTAATTTGCAATCAAGCGGCAGTATCCGGGCAACAGCTAGCGGGTAGGTACGCAAGTCGGAAGGCGCGGAATTTACTGCACGATCCTGACAAAGATCAGGACGCCTCGAATAAATAGCAACGAGTGGTATACGATTAAAGCTTCTATGCGTAATTAGTTTGAACTGAAAGGTGAGATGGTGGTGGTCATCGTTCCCCCCCCCTTCCCCTACCGGACGGACTAAGTCTAGAGATATGTCCTTTTATTCTATTATACGGCAATTATCTCGTATTT